CACACACACAAACAAGGTATGGCTGAGATGTATGTGTATTATGTCAAACCCACTGCCTTTCATTACACGGTGACAGACTTACTTCTTCATATTGGTAATGATGATGTAATGATATTAATAATGACAGTTGAGGGGCACCTGGGTGGCTCAGTCAGTTGAGCATCCAACTTCGCTCAGGTCGTGATCTCACAATTTGTGGGATTGAGCCCCTCTAATCAGGCTCTGTGCTGACAGCTTGCTCAGAGCCTGCAGCCTGCTTCAGATTCTGTCTTCTTCTTCTCTCTCTGCCCCTCCCCTGCTCATGCTCTGTCTTTCTCTGTCTCTCAAAAATAAATAAATGTTAAAAAAAATTTAAAATAAAAAAATAATGACAGTTGATATTTATCAAATGCTTGTTAGGAGTTAGGAAGCATGATATATAATCTCACTTATTATTTTTTAATGTTTTATTTATTTTTGAGAGAGACAGAGACAGAATGCGAGTGGGTTAGGGGCAGAGAGAGAGGGAGACACAAAATCCGAAGCAGGATCCAGGCTCCAAGCCATCAGCACAGAGGCTGACATGGGGTTCGAACACACAAATTGTGAGATCATGACCTGAGCCGAAGTCGGTCATTCAACCGACTGAGCCACCCAGGCGCCCCTAATCTCATTTAATATCTACAGTCACCCAATGAGATTAGCTATTATTTTTGCCATTTTATAGGTGAGGAAATTGAGGCCTGAAGAGATTGAGTAATTTGTCCAAGATTAAAATACCTAGTTCATGGCAGAATTAGGATGTAATAACTAATTTGACTCCAAAGTCAATGTACTTAATCACTAAATTATATTCCATTCTTTACCTCCAAAGCCTTGCCCCCTAGTTTGAATCTGGGGGTTCAGAGCCCCTCTTAGATTTGGACTTGGTGTCCACTGCTATTTCTAGAGTAGACAAATTTGGGGCTTTTACTCATCAGTTAGTTGTCAGTATAACAATTGTTTCAAAATTGCACCCAGCCACAGAGGATGGCTCTGGGAAGCCATGTTTATTCTATCAGAATTTGTCCCCTTGACCACATTTGATTGGACCAGGTAGACACCTAACCCAGACTGCTACTTCCTGGAAACAGAAATTGGACCTTAACCTGGGGCTAGAGGGAAGGTATAAACTATCAATATCTAGGTGGTTCTCAGGGTCAATGGGGATGACATTGAGGGGAAGCCAGTGGAAATAAATGGAGCCCATGGTCTGGAAGGGGCCTGAGGCCTCAATGCAAATCCAGGGTAAAGAGTTTTTTCTGGGGGAAGGAAGCAAGTACTTTCACCTTGACCTACACTTGGTGGGTCTGTTGTTACCTGCACAGGTGGGTGAGAGCCAGTGGGAGAGATGGGGGGTTGAGGGTAAGGAAAGCATTGAGAGAGTAAGGGGTGGGTATGGGAGATTGAGAAAGAGCATGAAGAGACAGAGATCAGGGAGGGAGAGTAAAATGCTCCAATTTGATAGTTTTCCATTTCCTGCCTTGTCTCTCTCTCTCTCTCTCTTTCTGGCCTAGTGTCATTCCTACTTTGGGGTCAATGAAATACCTAGGTCTCTACCTGATAAAGGTCCTTTTTGTTTAAGTAGGTTTTGGTCACTTTAAGCTAAAAATAGTACTGTCTAAAAGACATGTCTATAAATTTTATAATCTCGACATTGATTAAATTTTTGAATAACAGATATCTAGAGGAATATATAATGCAATTGAAAGTAAGGTCCAAAATTATGTTAACAGACTGAAATTTTGTTAACAGACTGTAGGTAATAAAACATACATGGAATTTAATAAAACTAAATGTAAACATTTACCTTTATATTAAAAAATTATACAGAATTGGGGTGACCTGGTTTAGCACTATTTTATTAAAAAGAAATTTGGAGTTTTGGCTAACCACATGCTTATTAAGAGGTAATAGTAAAGGGCAGGGGCTAAAAGACACAAATGTAGTTTCAAAGACCTGATACTAAATTAAAATTAAGAACCCTCTAGGGTACCCAGAAACCAATCAGGGTCACCTGGATTTAATCTCAAGGAATCCAGGCTGGATTATTTTTTTTTCTAAAAAAGCCCAAATTTAGTCAATTAGAGTATGTTGTATTAAGTCTAATGAATAAGCCTGAAACACGGAACTAAATGAGCTAATGTAAGGAAACACACCTAGAGAAAAACAATTCTGAAGAAATCATTTTTACCTGTTGCAAATGTTTTTTAAACAATAAAAATAATACATGCTTTTTATAACACATTCAAAAATTATAGACAGGTATACAGAAAAAGTGAAATCTACTTCCCCTATTCTAGCCTCACTTCCTAAAAGCAATCATTGCTTACAGATTGGTGGTGCATTTCCAGATTTGTTGTACTACACACACACATGCATGCGTGCATCTGTTCATGTGTGAACATTTATAGTTCCCTTGTTTTTTTAATTTATTTTTATTTTTTATTTTTTACACTTATTTGTTTTTGAGAGACAGAGAGAGACAGAGCACAAGCGGGGGAGGGGTAGAGAGAGAACACAGAATCTGAAGCAGGCTCCAGGCTTTGAGATGTCAGCACAGGGCCTGACGCAGGGCTTGAACCCACGAGCCACAAGATCATGACCTGAGCTGAAGTCGACGCTTAACCAGCTGAGCCACCCAGGCTCCTCTATAGTTCCCTTGTTTTAAATTTTTTAAAATGCTTATTTATTTTTGAGAGAGAGAGACAGAACATGAACAAGGGAGGGGCAGAGATTGAGAGAGAGAGAGAGAGAGAGAGAGAGAGAGAGAGAATCCAAAGCAGGCTCCAGCTCTGAGTTGTCGGCACGGAGCCCAACGTGGGGCTCAAACTCATGAACTGTGAGATCATGACGTTAGCTGAAGTTGGATGCTTAACCGACTGAACCACCCAGGTGCCCCTATAGTTTCCATTTTTAAAATAAATGTGCAGAAGACTACTGCTCTATAAGAATTTAGCCATTCCTTTCTTGATAAATGTTATAGCTTATTTAAAAAAATTAGAAACAATGCTGCAAAGAACATTTTTATGTATATATCTTTATGCATATCTTCTAATTTTTTTTTTTTTTGGTAGGATACATATCTAGTTGTGGGAGTGTGGGTCATAGCATATGGGCATTTGAAGTTTTGAGGGATTTTTCCACATTGCTTTCCAATAATTCTGTATGAGTTGACACTTTCACCAAGTTTGGCTTTTGGGCTCTGAGCTAAGAATCTTGATCATACTAGACAGTTATGGGGCTCCTAGCCCAGGTACTTTCCAATCCATGAAGGGGTGCATGGCTGAGACCTCGTTTTGGGACATAAACTCCATAATCTGTACGCAACGTGAGTGCACACTTCACTTATAATACTGGTAGCTTTCTCTGCCCCTAAGCCTAAGTAAGGCAGTCTGTCCTGGTCTGGAATCCGCTTCTCTCAGATTCTGGGAAGTCACTGATGAGGATTCTACACCCCTGGGACTTGGACGCCTACTTACTTTCATTTAAAAATTTTGCTTCAACACTTACTCCAAGGGCAGGCAATGAGTGTACTGGAAGACTTTATTTTTTGCATGCTTGACTACCTATCTGGCTGATGGGAAGGGCTGAGTGGTGTTAGCTCTGTGTTTTTCCAACCTCAAAGTTCTGGAGATCTACCTTCACAAAGGTACTAGGAGGAGTCCTGTTAGAAGAAGTTTCATTTAGGTTGAATCCTAAGCAATGCTTCTCAGACTTTAATGTGATAGGAATTAATGCCTTGTTAAAATGCAGATTCTGATTCCACAGGTCTAA